GTTCTTCGGAGATACGACGTTAGATGAGGAAAAAGTTAAGGCGGGATAATCTTCATCAATTTCATTTATCGAGAAATGTACAGCGTCGAGTCACCGCGGCGGACTTGGCCAAGTGTCGAAATGAAATAAAGTTATCTGAAATAACTTGTTGGCTTTGGTCAGGTCACTTAAATTGAGAAGAGAATGAGACCGACCGCGCAAAAGGCACATAGCTGCAAAGATCGGCCACGTACAAATGCTACCAGTCGAAGAGGAGTACGGAAATGAGGAGGAAAAGACAGCAATCGTGCACAGTTATCACTTCGGCGCACAGCCCTAATGAAACGCCAAGAACGTTGAGGGGATCCCCTGGTCGTAACCCCAGTATGACTGGACGCCGGGATTGAGACATGTGTCGTGTTCGGTTCATGGGTCCTAAGCATTGTCCAGACACTTGGAATGCGTTTGCCTAACAATGACTACCGCCGCGGCATCGCGGTAGGAAGCGAACGCGTTCAGCACGCTGTCGAGCCATATTACATCGCGAACCCATTCGTTTGAACTTCATTTTCCAACCGCATGTGCAACACTCATGATCGTCAACGTGGAGAGGGTATCCTCGCCCATGGCCCGGATCCAAACCGGCTCACACGCGCCATATGCATGGCAAGTCGCTTCTACGCTGCCATTCAAACGGACCCCATGCCTACCAATGAGACAAACCGCCATTTCAACTGGAAAAACCAGCCTTGACGAGCCGAGAACACACTCAGACGACGTGCCTCGGCCCATCTCAAGACCGGTGCAGCTCCCAGCAGGACAGCGTTTGTTCTCCGCTGTCAGCGCGGAGAGGTGCCCCCGTCGGCGTAAGGAGACTCAGCCTCACGCAGCGCGAGGAGGTGACAGACTCAAGCAGCGTAGGGAAGTGACTCAGTCTCATGCAGCGTGAGGAGGTGACAGCTTCACGCAGCGTAAGAAAGTGACAGTCTCATGTAGCGTGAGGAGGTGACAGCTTCGCGCAGCGTAAGGAAGTGGCTCAGTCCCACGCAGCGTAACGTGACTGTCTCACGCAGCAAAAGGTGACTCAGCCTCACGCAGCGTAAGGAGGTGACAGCTTCACGCAGCGTAACGCAGTAACGCAGCTTCGCGCAGCGTGAGGAGGTGGTCACTCTCAACGGGCGAAAAAATCGAATGGAACTATTTGAGACGCGTTTTCTTGACAGCATTGCCGAACATGACCATATTAGTTAATAGCTGTCAGGTTTGTTTGCATGAGCCTAAAAACAATATCCACTTAGCCTGCCCGATTATGCCAACGGAGGGGCACATCAGTTTTCCCAGAAAACACTTTGCAGCCTTAATCATTCCTGGGCGGCCATAACACTGCCAGTTCTGTGCATCGTCTTCCGTCGACGCTCTGGAAGCTTTTGTACATTTTGGCACGTTGATACCACAATGAACCCATAGCGTACGGAGGACGTCCGACGCAAAATAAAAATAGACGCCCGTGAACTGTACGCCGCAACCTCCAACATATTTCACTCCAAAAGGTATTCGATGGGACCAACCAAATTCCTGTGCCAAAAAACATATTAATCATACGTGTGTAGCTCTGTTCGTACCGAATGTTATGCAGATGACTGGCAGGGTCATTCGACAGCAGTTTGCTGAGACGCTATTCACCTGTAGTCGCGGCAAGATTCTCAGTGCCCCGCGCCTTGATCTCAGTCAAATCGCCTCGCGTAGCCACGTGTCTGAGGTCGAAAACACCATTGTCTCCTTCCAGGATTGCCGGCAGCGCCAGACCAATTCCATTTCCTTAATAGGCTTCCTATCTGATCAATTTTTAACGCTCGGTTGAAGAGTTCCCCTCCCGGCGAAACGCAAGGAGCCAGCTCAAGGAAATTACAGGGAAAGATTATCACAAAGAAACGACGGAGGGGAACGCGCGCGAACGCAACGAGCGAAGGGCGCGCCCTCCTTACCCAGCCAAATGCAACGAGAAACGCACAGACTGTTGCGCAAGCTGGCGGGCGTTTAGATGTGCAGTTCATCCTGTGCCCATCTAACAGCGGGACGCTGCAGACGCTAAACTTCGCTTCAAACGCTCCATCGCCGATCCCTGTCACACAAGTGTTGTTTGGGTCCTGGCCCCCAACCCCATAGCGTTCTTTGGCATTTTGGTCACTAGGTACGGCGGGATGGTGATCCTGATAGCTGGGACGGTGTCCTCACACACTACCAAGGCGCATGAGCTCGTCGGCATACCAAAATCAAGTCAAGGCTCTGCATGAACCACACGGACAGGGGACCGGAGCTGGCCTCGGTCACCTAGCTCAGTCCCGTGATATGGAGTCAACAAGGGTCAACAGCAGCCTGCTTACGGTGTTTAGACCAAGAGGTGGAAAGCCATGAGGCGTTCACTCATGTCGGTGCGTGATCCCTCTCCGACAACCGTGTCACAAACACCCAAAACCCGCCGGGAATCCGGTGCTCTCCTTCCGCTCCTTCTCTTCGCGCGGGACCCGAACACAACTGAACGACAACGGCTCACATACCGCTTCTATTGCGTAAGACCACACACACACAGCACCTCCCGGCCGGTCCCAACACTGCAGGGCGGGGGGTGCCCGCCGGCTCTGGCCGCAGCTGGGGGGCGGCCCACTGCCTCCGGCCGTAGCTGAGGGTGGCCCGCCGCCTCTGGCCGCAGCTGAGGGCGGCCCACTGCCTCCGGCCGTAGATGAGGGTGGCCCGCCGCCTCTGGCCGCAGCTGAGGGCGGCCCGCTGCCTCCGGCCGTAGCTGAGGGCGGCCCGCCGCCTCTGGCCGCAGCTGGGGGCGCCCACTGCCTCCCCGTAGCTGAAGGTGGCCCGCCGCCTCTGTCCGCAGCTGAGGGCGGCCCGCCGCCTCCGGCCGCAGCTGCGGGCGGCCCGCCACCCCTGACCGCAGCTGAGGGCGGCCCGCTGCCTCCGGCCGTAGCTGAGGGCGGCCCGCCGCCTCTGGCCGCAGCTGGGGGCGGCCTACTGCCTCCGGCCGCAGCTGAGGGTAGCCCGCCGCCTCTGGCCGCAGCTGAGGGCGGCCCGCCGCCTCTGGCCGCAGCTGAGGGCGGCCCGCCACCCCTGACTGCAGCTGAGGGCGGCCCGCTGCCTCCGGCCGATACTGAGGGCGGCCCGCAGCGCGGCGGCACTAAACGGTACGCTTCTCATCCAAGCTGAACGGCTTGATCCAGCGCAGTCGCAGACGCTCCCGCACCGTGGCCGGCGCCAGCTTCAGCCGGTCGTACTCGGTGACGACCGGCGTCACGCGCATGGCGGCGTTCCGCACCACCCGGCCGTCCTGCAAGAGCACACGGCGACCTGAGGCCCTGCGTCTAGCATCCGAACGGGCACCGTCTTCACGTCTTGCGCTCAACACCACGCCTCAAAACACGTACAGTTCACAGATAGCGCCAGCTTCACGCAGACATGTAGGCAACCCACGAGCAAAACCGGCCATCTAGACTCTGTGATATATGACTCAGATTCCACACACATCAGTCGGAAAGGTCGGCCCCAATACGCCATGATGATTCGGAGCCCCCTATGCCTATCCTTCGTGAGAATATCTGTTGATGATCTAGGTAATATATATATATATATATATATATATTATATATAATATATATACTAACTATATGTATAATATATGTAAATTAATAACATCAATATATATATATATAATATATACATAAATAATAGCAAGTGCCCCCCCACACACACAAACAAGACACATCAAGCGGGGCAATGCACCTTAATACGTGCTTGGGTAATCGGTTGAAAAAGACGCGCTCGAGTGGGTTGGGGCGAGTGCAACTTGGAATCCCTGAGATATCCAAATCTTAGAAAGCTGAATGCACCACATGCACAACGCAGAAAGTCAGAGGCAATAAGGTCGAACAGTTTCAAACTCGAGATTGTTGTCCGAAGTGCCCCTCCTTCCCCCCTAACCACGGCAAACAACCAAATCGAACCTAGATAATTGTTCTAATCGAGAGGCCAATCAGGGTCATGTCAATTCAGTGTTCTTATCTTGCCTTGAGAAGGTCAAACAAACAGAAACGTCCCAATTATTTTGATATTCGAATTTTTGTAATGAATTAATTCAAAATGAGTATCAAAGACTGGCTCCTGAAGAAAGTTTTTCAAAATAAAAACTTTGATCTGACCTTGGTTTGACATGAATACCTGACCCAATTTCAAAGAAATTAGTTGACCTCCGAGTTAAAATCGTCCATTTGCTTCGGAAGCCATCGCAAATTTGTGTGATGTCTAACGCTCCGCTGCCATATCAGCTGGAAGTATTTCTAAGAAGTGTCCTTACTGGCAACTATGACCTGTTTTCGACCCGCTACAGGTCAGCTACCTTAAGAGGCATAACCAACAGTTGATACCAAATGGCTCGTTATGCAGTTGTCTACAGCTGTACGCATATTGGCGTCGCTAAAGTCGTACGAATTCGGAGTTGTTTTTTTAATTCGTTTTAAATTCTTGAAAAAGCCTTAAAGAGGAGAGGGAGGGGGTCAAAATCGGCCTGTCACCCGGAGCGGGTGTTTCAAGTTTGAAATGAGTTGGGGCTTTCGGAAGCTGTTGTTATTCCGCGCTTTGTATACAACAGTGTCCTGGTTACTTACGTTAATATGCCAACGTAAGCTGGGGACAATCGCGACGAAGAACTTAACCCTGCCATGCCGCAAAACATTCCGACGGTTATCTTTCCAATTGTCTGATCTCAGCACCACCTCAGACGTACGACAAGCTCTGGATGTGGCTCCCCAAAAGTACAGAACAGTAGCGATGTACACAGCGCGCGTATAACCCTGAACCTCCATCTAAATACAGGCAGGACGCCGTCCCATTCCCTGACTGGCACCAGCTTATCCGAGTGACTTGGGTCGGGTAGACCAGGACGGGTCTAGTACAGCACGCCGGTCGGTTCAGAGCCGGGCCGGCGCCGCTTGGCAGGGGTAGCCCCACCAGCGGGGTGGCGCCTCGCGCCGCCCGCGCGCCCGCAGCGCCGGGCGTGGGCGCCGTCCTCCGGGGCTCCTCGCCGCCGCTCTGTCGCGGCCGGGCCGGCGCGCGTAATCTCTCGCCCCGGCCGGGAGCGCCGCCGCCGTAATCTCGCCGCCCCTCTGACAATGGACTCGTCTGTGCCCAGATTGCGGGTGGCTGCGAGAGCTAACTCGGGGGGCCGGCCCGCCGGAGGAATCAATCGGCGGCGCACGGGGTAGGCGGGGGCGCCGGCGGACGGCGCGGCTGGCGGACGGCGCGGCGGGGCGGCCCGCCGCTGCTCGTCCGCAGTCTGCAGCCCGGCGGGTCCGCCCTCGAGGCCGTCAGGCTGTCGGGCCGCGTTTAGTACGGGCTTGACATCGAACGGATATTCACAGAATGAGGTGCACGAGAGCTGTGCACTGGAAACGAGGCCTGGCCCGCCCACCGTTCATCAGATGCACGAGGGTCGCGTAATATGTTTCAGAGTGCCTCCAAAAGGAGCATTCCAGCGTGGGATATGTCTTATGACGACCTTCCTAACCTTACCAACGATTACGCCATCTCGCTACTGTCCGGGCTCCACAAGCTACTTGGTGCAAGAGTGACGCACTTGAGCCCCGCGGTTTTCACACCCACGGTAAACACAGGATCCCGCTTCTCCATACACCCGCTGGGCTAACCGCCCTTTCTCTGGAGGAAAAACTTGCCTCTAGCCTCACCAGGGCACAATAACGAGGGCGCTCATAGACAGAATGTCGCGACGCGTGGTGGGTGTGAGTTAAATCGACCCTTAATTTGGGCAGCGCCTGGCATCACACTGGCAGTAACCTGAAACAACCAGCATTCACCACCATTAGCGATAGTCCAACAATTCATGGAGTAACACACGAGCAATCAAAAACACCCACAGACGAAGCTCGGCCTGCCGAAGACGACTAGCGCATCAGACGTCTCGCTACCACCCCGATGCTAATTTGAAAATGTTCAACAACCTTGTTCCGGTAATGGTTACACAGACGCTTCAACGGATGGAGACCCCTCCGGCTGTCGACTGTCGCTGACCTCGTCATGTCCCGCCGTCTGCCAGCTCCCCTGACCGAGGGTACGTCTCACGAAGCGCCGCAGTCTGCCGCGAGTGAGGCCCCGGCCGGCGGCGAGGCCCCGCACCTGCGCCGTCTCTCCGCAGTCTAAATCAAATGGAGCTGCCATCAATTAAAGCAGACCGCCGCTCCCGTCGTTAATCATTGCGCGGGGCGGCGGCTGCAGCCATTACCTTCAGCGGCTGCCAGTCCTCATCTGTAGCAGCAGCTGGCCTTCGCCGCCCGCGGTATCGGTCCTCACCTCCCGCAGCTTGCCGATTCCTACCTCTGGAAGCTGTCCGTCCTCGCTTCCAACAGTTGCCAGTCCCCGTTTCCAGCACCCGCCGATCCCTACCTCTAGAAAGCTGTCCATCCTCGCTTCAACAGTTGCCAGTCCCCATTTCCAGCAGCTGCCGACCCTCAAATCCAACAGGCACCAGCAGTCATCATCAACGTCAGTAGCTGCCGGCTCCATGGCCAACATCTGTCAGCCCTCACCTCCAGCAGCTGCCAGCCGTCCAGGTCGTCGTTCGCCGGCTGGCAGTCCGGGAAGGTGATTGGGTCCACGCGGATCACGTGCTTCACGGTGTAAAGCATGGCGTTCACCTCCGGGATGTTCTTGACGACGTTGACGGCGCCGACGGTGCGCGTTGAACGCTGGCGGGCGGCCGTCACACGCAGTCAGTGTGCGTGACAACAGCGCAGCTGAGTGTTCAGGGTTGGCGCATCCGGCAACAACCCCGGACGGAGTGTCTGGCGTTGGATGCCCCCCCCCCCCCCCCATTCATTCATCAGCAATAGTGGACCCAAAATTCGTCATCGAGTCTGTCCTGACGCCTCCTGCGTCACTGGCGCACTGTCCCCGCGTGGCCAGACGTGTGCCAGACCGTGTGTATCGCGGGCACCGGAAACACTGTCCGTGTGTCGAGGCGTCCTCGGCTAGACCAGCCACACGAGCACGTGGCCAGGTGAACACGGGACCGGCCAGCGTCCCGCGCGGGCGGCGGCACATGCCGGCGATCCCAGCTGCCGGCAGCTTCCGCCGGCCGCGAAATGTGCCTCAATTCGGACGACCAGATCCCATTTCCGACAGAGCTCGGAGAGAAATGAATGCAGATTTTATCGCAGAATTGGCCCAACTTCCGAAACGATTCTAAGAACAAAGTTCTCTGAATGTTCTCGGTGATTGAATGGGAACTAGGCTCATTAAAAAGACTTAACAACGTGGATCAGTTCATGCTAGACGACTGCCACGATGGAAAAGAAAGATTAATGGTCCACCAAAAGTTCTTTACAAAATGCATTCATCTAGTTTCAACGGCTGCATCACGGGCCTGAGCGAAGGCAGTGCAGATTTATGCAGCATCTAAAGTACAATCGAAAACCGTTTGCGATAAAAATACGTCCCATTTCATATTACTTTAAGGGAGGCAGGTAAAATGCGGCATCAAAATTTTGCGTAACAAAGTACGTAATTCACGTGAAATCTACCTTGATCCCATAAGCTGGAAGAATGTTTATCACATTTCTGGAAATCCGGCATACGATATGAAGTCCTGGGAACAGCCAAGTACCTACGTAGCCACAAGCCATACACCATGGCCGATCAAATCTGCTGGCGGGGTCCAATCAGCACCACTGCTCAGCCGCCAGCACCGGGCTCTCACCCCCTCGTGGCACCGCCCTCAGCCGCCAGCACCGGGCCCTTAACCCCTCGTGACACCGCTCCTCAGCCATCAGCACCGAGCTCTCACCGCCTCGTGGCACCACCCTCAGCCATCAGCAACCCGAGCTCTCACCCCCTCGTGGCGCCGCTCCTCAGCCGCCAGCACCGAGCTCTCACCCCCTCGTTGCAGGCCGAGTTGGCGGCAGGTGTCCTTGATCAGTAGGGCTGCCCTGGAGCGGAGCTATCAAGCTGGATCCGATGCAGCTTGGCTGGCGTCACCGGCGGGTCGGGGCCGGTCCGGAAAACCTGGCGATGGCCGGGCCCGCCATCAGAGCCGGGTCAGCACCGAGGGCAGCCGCGATCAACGCTGAGCCCGGGACACGACGGCCGGGGCGGGGCGATGCTGGCCGGCTCGTGATAGCCGGCGTTCTCCGTGCGGGACTCGAGCAGTTGCAAACCGCCAGTGAGTGTGGTTCAAGCTTTCCACGCTTCTCAAGCGCGACCCACCCACCCACTCAATTATAGTTGTTACGCAGGACACACAGGATTCTGAAAGGCTAAACGTTTCCAGGAAGCTTCACCACTTTCTTCTCTTTTTCCTTGTGTTTTACGAAATGTCCGCTTCGTGCACCGGGTCTTTACGTCTGCTGGCACCGGCAGCAGATCGGACGGGCAGTCCGTCTGTCCGGTCAGAGTGCAGCGCACAGAGCTGGCCGGCCCACGTGGGAACGGGAGGCTCCACTCGACTCCGGCACACGCCCGCTCCAGCCATCGGTCCGCTATGAGGCACTGGCGCCGCGGGCCCACGTGGCGACGAGACGCTCCATTCGTCTCCGGCACAAGCCCGCTCCAGCCATCGGTCCGCTATGAGGCAATGGCGCCGGATTGAAGTGTCGTATTGGAGGGGGTGCCAGCCTTTCCCCTAACACTTCACTTTGCCGCCGTCGGTCCCTTTCCGGTCCCCCTCCCCCCCCCCCCCCCTCCACACCTTAAAATCGAAGTGGGCGAAATCCGTGGAGTCATTGGATTTGATGTAACATTGGGACAGTTCTAATAATTTATATCAGCATGAACCAATCCTCTTCCGAGTTTGAAAAAAACGTCGTTACACTTGGCAGAACGATGGCAGGCGCGCGTCAGCTGTCCCATCCCCCCCCCCCCCCTCCCGCCTTATCCAACCGGCCAGGGTGACACCCGGCGCGTTCAACCACCACAGGTGACTGGTTCACAACGCTGAGACGCAGGGTGCATCGGCTCCACAGTCTGCCGAGCGTCAGCGGCAAGGGCAGGCGGTATGATGGGAGGGGCGGGTGCACCATCGAGTCGGCAGGAACCCGCCGGGTCGCGCTGCCACTGACCGCGGGTAGTAAATGAAGCCGTGGTACTGGATGCCGCCGTCGGGCCGCGGCACGCCGCGTGAGCTGTCCGGCTTGTCTGTGACGGCCACCGCCATGCGCTCGGAGCGCGGCAACAGATCCCTGTTCGGCGGCAGCTTGGCGCGTGGGAAGCGGGCGCTGCAGCGGCGCGCTTGTTGATACCAACCGCCGCGTGATGGCAGCACAGCCACCCCGCCAGAGAGCGCCAGCGAAGACGATCGAGCCGGACGGGGAAGTCATTGTACTGGGAACTCACAGACACCTGGAAATAACGATGTAGCTTAGGAAACGACGCTTGCGGAATGACCAGGCCAGCTGAAAGTATCATGTTTTCACAAACAGCCGAATGGTGCCACAAATTTCCTGAAGGGGCTGTTGGAAAGGACATCCTAACCTTCTGTCAACGTATAGCTTCTGCACCTCCTTCGTTCCAATAAATCGCTTGCTCCTGTTACGGGTCGTGACCTAACCCTGATACTTCTGTGTGACCCTGATACCTGATCTGAGCCCGGTGCTAAACACACGAGAAAATTGTTCCGTTTTAAATTATGCTCTCGAATCAAAGCTTTTCAAGTAGATGTTATCATTTCTGAACGCGAATCTTAGCAAAGTCTATCTATCTATCTATCCAAAGCTCCCAAAAGTGGAGCTTCGTTCGACAACACTTTGATCTTTGGCACCGGGATCGAAAAACGAAGCAAACGATGGCCGAAGCGCGCAGTGGCTCTATTTCAGGTATTTCAGGTAATTGGATACGGGAGCTCGGTTTAAAAACTTAGTTTTAGAAACCATGATTTACTGCTCGTTCTATGAAAAATACAAGATTTCTTTGGTACGCCGTATCCCTAAAGGATAACATGGCGCCACCGCTTCCGCTGAATCAGCAAGGTGCTACACAAACAGCAGCTTGAGGTTTCAACATGCTACTACATAATTTGTTCAGTGTTTTATGCTGCTAGTAACCGATTATCAACATAATAGAAGGTACTGCTTCGGTGACGTTATCGGGCAGAACATCGGTTTATTGTCGAAACCCCACGTTCCAAGCTGTGCTGACTGTCGTGAGTGGTGACGAGTGACTCGTGACCTTAAGAACAGTCTGAAGCGTGAAGTTGTCAGCATCAGTCTGAACTCTTAATGCCGAAAAAAGAAGAGCCGAAAACACTTATTTCTTGTTTCGCAGATTTAGTCTAGCCTACAGGGAAAGTGAGGGCTAGTCTATCATGTTCAGCTTGATAATCAAGCAAATATGTTATTACAAGAAGAAAACCATAAACTACCGGCGTAAGAAGCAGATCCGCGAAAGCGTCTTACTCAACCGATCCAAGAGGTATTACCGATGGTTCGATGATTCAGGCCAATTCATAAATGACAAAGTGAAATTATTGTCATGCTCCACCAGTAGGCAGCTGGGGCGGTCAATTTCGCGAGTGACTTCAACTCATGACTAATTAAGGTTCCAAACTATAAACGTCCCTTTTGTGCTTACTATTTGGCTTATTAACTTGCAATACAATTTGGTGGCTCTCGGAATCTGGGAACGCTTCCCAATTCATACAGAATTAGGCAGTCTGAAAACATCTGCCTGCCTGCCTTCCGACGAAATTTCAATTTAACACGCATCAGTTAATGCCACTACATATATAAACTTAAATGAACTAAATAAAGATTCCAAGCAAACAAAATAAAGGCCAGGCTGCATCAGCGGCACGGGACTCTAATTTAGTCCAGCACGTGCCCGTGCGATGGCACAAAAACGCCCTCCACACAGGGGTTTACAATGCAATGCTTATATTAGTTGTCAGCACATCAAATCAGATGACCGGAGAGCGACTAGGACAGGCATGCCTCGGTTAACACGGCGGCGATTAGTTACCAAACGGCACGGGGCAGCCGCAGTCAGCCGCCGCACATGGAAGGCAATCAGAGCAAACGCGAAGGAAACACAGGATCAGCGCATGGCTGGAGCGCCGCATCGCGCCGCTCTGGGGCGGTGCGCGGCGCCGCTCTGGACGGGCGACGCGAGACACACATCTGAGAACACCCCGAATATCATGCTATCGTGTCGCCCTCAGCCGGCCGGCACCTCGCCGTTACCGTGCTGGAGGTCAGGTCACTCATCCGCATGCGATCATCGTTCGAAGCCTGCTCAAACGTCCCGTCAATCATCCTCGGCGAGTCATTATATGACGTCACCCACATCCACTGACGCATAGCCTCTCACCCACGGATGGAGACGTCAATGACCTGCCGGCATCATCCACCGACCCCTAGCTATTTCTCCTCTCAGAGTGAAGCATCAGCACAACATACCTCCGACGTTCCCTAGTCAGCTATCCCCGGACGGTCACGCTCATTAAAACGCTCCTCCACCAGCGCCTATCGTCGCAGAGCCCACCGCGGCATCGCCCCGCCGCTCCTTCACCGGTCCAGTTATTGCAAAAGCGCCCTCGTGACTCATCTCTCGTCCTCTGAGAGCCGCGCAATATCATCCTCGGCAGGTCACATAAGCACTGTGCCAGACGCCACCAGTCTCCGGAGCATCATGCCATCACCCCCGCTGGATCTTCACCGCCATCTCGTTACTCCTCGCGGGGTCACGCCGGCGGGGGGTGGCGTGACCCCGCGGCACCGCCGGCGCCTGGTCACCGGTCCGGGGGCGTCCGCCGCCCGGCAGGGACGTGCGGTCCGGTCCGACACAGCGCCGCCCGCTCGCCCCTCACCGCGCCGCGTACAGGCGCACGTACTCGGACACCTTGCGCTCGAAGCCGTCGCGGTCGAGCGCGTAGTGTTCGGCAGCCTCCGTGTTAAGCGGATCGTCGAAGTTGAGCAGGTCGGTGAACAGGGAGTTGAGGCCCCACACCACGTCTTTGAGGCGGCGCGTCGGTGCCCAGCCCATGCCGTCGTAAGAGTTCTGGCGCAGCAGGCTCAGGCAGACGGCGCCGTCCTCGGCGATGTTCGGGTGCCAGAGCCGCGTGTGGCAGCGCACCTCCGGCGGCGACATGTTGTACTCCTCGCCCACGCTGATGCCGAACGAGAAGGCGCCGCGGCGCCAATAGCCCTCGTCGGGCCGCACGGTCAGCACGAACTCGTGCAGCGCGTCGGGCCGCGGGAACTCGACGCTGCATGTGGCCGGCAGGTTCTCGTGCAGCTCCTGCACCTCCTTGGTGAGCAGGCGGTCCCGCATAGCGGTGCGGCGGCGCGGCTCGGCGCCGGCGGCCACCGGACCGCCGGCGGCCGTCTCGCCGCGCTTCTGCAGCAGCTTCTTGCTGAGCGTGATCATGCCGGCCGGCCGGCTGGCTGCAGTCTGCGGGCAGAGGCGCGCGGGCTCGGTCAGACGCGCCGCCGCTCACGCGCCGCCCGGCAGCCGGCCGGCATCATGCTCTTCGGAGCATGCCCGCTCGATGGCGCCGGCTGGCTGGGAAGCGGTACGCGTGTCCGTGTGTCAACTGCTATCGATGGCGAGAAGATGCTCGGGACGGTTTTCGGGCGTTGAAGTGTTGGTCATCTTCAGCATCACAGTTTACTTGAAAACTAGTTATGCGTCTGGTATTGCTTCCCTTTACCTCAGATCTCACACGTCGGCAGGCAGTTCAGTGCCTCTTACTCCTACCTCACTTTCTGTATTGAAGTACGTTCACATCCTTATTTCAGAATACGACCCAGGTTGAAAAAAGGCTCGCCTCTTGCTTGCAAAACATCAATTATTCGTCATACCATGATACATATAGTTTCAATGACTAGATAACCCGCTTCGTTGCACTTTTACAGAACGCTTGAGGATCGCCATGCTTACTTGATGGACCAGCAAGAGCAGAAACAATTCTTGGAACCAAAGACACACAACGAGCACGCGGTTATCAACAGGTAAGTGTCCCAAGTGTACCACCCATGCACTGAGTTCCAGTGCGAGGCCGTCGCTGATTGGATGCCAAGCCGGGGCTTGAGCCCGATTCACACACAAAACGCAGCCTCAGCCCCACCCACAAAACGCTCATCGCCCGCACCCGAACACTAGCCTGGTCGGACTCCGAGCTCACATACCACTGCCATGTTCGGCAAAAAGGTACACCACGGTGAATAGCCCGACCAGGACGGCCCAACACCTCAGAAGTCGCTGTCACTTCAATGTGTGTAGCCAGCCAGCCAGTGTGTAGCATGCCAGGCTTATGAGTGGCAAAGAAGTTATACTTACTAAAGCTGGGGATATTATTGTCTGCTAAATTTTGCTGACTGCAGCTTACTTACCAGTTGTGCTGCAAACATAATATGTCCTCTTTTTTAAGGTGCAGAGTGACACTTGGTTACTTCCACACAAAAATAGCATAATGTGTTTGCTGGTAATATCAGGTGCCCAAAACACACCAATGGAAACAGGGAGCAATGTATCTGGCATTTGCAAAAGAACTGGTGAAAACCTGGAACCCAGGTCCAGTGTCTACAAGAAGACTGATGGGTTCCATGAGCCACGAGCTCTTGCCATGAAAGAACCAGCAGGAGCCAGGATCCAAGGTCTTGCCTCCACGAATGGGCGAGTGGAGCCAGGAGCCAACAAGAGCCAACAGTGGGAACTGTGCACATGCAAGTACCAGGAACACATTGAGTTTGAGGTACAGCAGTCATCCTTACCCATTGTAAACACATGCAGCAATAAACTAAAAGAGTGCAACCAGAAGTTGCATGTACTCCAACTCTGGGACATACTGAGCATCTGACACCAGTTTCTGCAGGGGTGGGTGGGAGGTTTTCAGTTTCTTCAGCCATCCTTGTGTCACGAGGCTGTATGCATAGGACAACTTCCACAAAGCCAGAGAATTGCACTGCCTTACCTGTGATACACAACATCCACAATCTCCAAATGCAGGTTGCTATAAGTGGTACAAGTCAACAACCTGTGAGAGGTGAAATACATCACAAAGGCAGTTGTGTAATAAAACTAATTATATAATGACCTTTAGAGAAACATTGGACAATAATTCTGCTTTGAAGTGTTTTATTCCATTACATCAGTATTATTCATTGCCCACAGAGTGGTCAATGACGATCTTGGGAGGACCGTGCATGCCTGCCTGTCTTCAAAAAAAAAACTATTAATACAAGCCATCATGTTTGGAGTGACAACATGAACAGCAACCAAAAGGTAAGATTGCATCATCTCCAATTCAAAATGCAATAGTTTCAAGTTCAAAAAAGTTGATGGCATTTGTACCCTGATGGGGGCTCACTGACATGACAACACTTGCACTTCAATGCCTGACCATGGTGAAAAATGACCTTGGTTGTGAACTGGTCATTTAAAAGGAAGAGTAATGTGTTTAATATTGTAATGAAATATGATGTAAAAATATGAGTGAAACATAGATCCTTCAAACTGCCTACACATTTAGGTTGTGCACCTTAACAAAGGTTGAATGTAATCCCAATCCACAGGTACTGTGATGTCTAGGGAGCCACCATTGCATTGAATTCCCAAGAAACCAACACCACCTAATCTCAAGACACAGATCAGGCATGGGGACCAAGCCAGCTTCCACTTTGCTTTTGCCTCAGTTTTCCTTCAATGGTTTTGGTTCCAGCTTTAGCTTTGTGAAATTTGTCATGGCATGCTTCTTGTATTGCTTCTGTTATTTTAAATGGTTGGCTTTGACTCTGCCTTTAGCTTGGCATAAGTTCTGTCAGCTGGCTAAGGCTTCAAACAATTTGAATTACAGCTAGGCACTTCATGTCTTTGTTTTGTGCAATCTTCAAGCATTGACCTCAACTTTGTCTGATGTTTTCACTACAGTTGTGACTTAACTTAAAAAAAACATCCTGCCCATCCTGTCATGCTGTGGCTCCAATACACCACAAAGCAGTTGGAAGCTGCACTGCACATGACAGAAAGTCAATAAACAGCCTGCTATTTTCAGGACCAATTATCGGAGGCCACAGCTAGAGGACAATAGCCCAAATACAACTTGCATCTCTAATGCTAACATTTCATCTGGCCCACTAAAAGAGCATGGCATCTTGTGACTCCATACACTTCTAATAGATAAGGAAGTGGTTTTGGTTTCACAAAACAACATTTCCCACTGTTGACTAGGTTTACCTTTGGCTTTGGTGTGGTAAATTTGAACTGATAGATTCCATTTGGTTTCATGTTTACCTGGTTAAAAGACAATGATTCTGTGTTTGTGTTTTTATGTTCAAAATTCAAAGCCACTGGCCTGACTATACTTCACATTTAAAAAACACAAAGCCACCTGCTTTGGTTTTGATATCACAAGTTTGAGCTGTAAGGCTACAGGCTTCAGCAATGACTACAGCTAAATGTTGTTGTCTTGTCCTTTGATTAAGTTTTGAAGCCACGAACCTGGCTTTGCCCCCATGCTTGATATGGGTGCTGTGGAGCTGGTTGACAGAGCCTTCATTATATTTAATTCCAAAGACAATGAACACCACTTAGGTTAAGCCAGCCCTATTAGCTTACCTGACACTTCTATATAGCACTCAATTTCTTTCTGGCAGAGCCAGACATGCTTTGGCCAAGGCTAAATTGGGTAATAGGTTGGCTTGATAAAATGAAGTGGTCTGAAATTATGATGAAGTTGTAGGAGCTGAATCTGTGGTGTGGATGGCATTTGAGCCAGGTTCTTTGGTGACCAACATTAACATACTTTGAGGGACTTCATTTCATTTCCTGATCATAATCATGCAACAATGACATAATCAGTTACTTTTCACAGGTAAGAAATAAGAAGTGAAACTTCACTTTACAGGTAAGAAATTTGAAGAAAACCCAACCATAAAAGAAAGCACAACCATCTCCTTTTATTGCAGTCTGCATGCATGGTGGGGTGAAAGCAGAAGAATGAATCCAGGAATGGGGTGGGGTTCAGGGCACATCAACTGCTGTAGGTCATGTGGCTGAGTCAAGGAAGAAAGGATAATCATTGCCTTTTACTGCAATCTGCATGCCTGGTGGGCTGAAAGTTACATCAAAAGACAATGGTTGGACTGCTATTCAGGACTAAAATTAACTCTTAGCATAATGCCGAGCTTAAAATTAACCAGCTTTAATTGGACAATCCTTCCAATGAATGGAACGACGTCACATCCCGCCACTTGACATGTAAAAGAGCCTGTCAATGAGGATATCATAGCCAAGAATGTGGGACGGCAAAGACACTACTGATACTTAACTTACCTTTCGATGCTGTCAACTGCTGCAGGCTTACACTGACCCAAGCATATCTTCAACGGGGCCTCCGAAAAAAAACACCAAGAAAACGCAGGAATGTTATCAAGAAGCGCTAACACCACACCAGCCGCTCGTTATAATGAAATGAACCCGTAACAGCTCAAAGCCTTGTCACCTGTCAGCAACCTCACACGCTGAATGCAAACAACCAGCGTTGCTATCTGCAGAATGAGAAATTCGTAATAATAAAATAATCGGCACCAAAGGTGGCGAGGGGCGATTACCGCGACGCCAACGCTACGAATGCAACGCACCATGCCGCACTGCACCATAACACAAGGCACCTAAATCATGCCTTACCTTACCTTACCTTATGGTGATCCGGAATTGTAAAAGGCCACTAGGCCTGTACGTCCCGGTCTCGTCAGGCTCCCGGTCCGCTAACCAAACAGTCTCGAATTATGGGAAGATTCAATGTGGGACGTCGTACATGATGTCAGCCTAGTGCGTATCAAGCCTAGACTTGAACTGTTCAACTGAGGTCGACGCACAACCGGATGTGGAAGAGCGTTCCAGTCGTTGACAACCTGCGTGCTGAATGAGTTACGACGGACGAGAGTCCTAGCTCGAGGTTTTCTGAGCTTCCATTGGTGTCCTCTCGTCACCTCCGAGTTGTGTCTTGTCAGGAAGTCCTCTCCTGATAGCGACATACCTCCGTGAAACAGCTGGTACACTGTTACCATGTCTCCCCTACGACGACGATAGTACAGCGAGGGCAACTGAAGGAGTCTGAGCCTAATAGGGTATGGCTGGCGCCTCACTGTACAGGCAAGCCGGGTAGCTCGTCCCTGAACCCGTTCCAGCCCTTTCTGGTCCAGTTTGCCGAACGGGCCCCAGATAATGTTGTCATACTCTAAGTATGGACGTACTAAGATCTTAAAGAGCAATGGCAACGTGCGAGCACTGATATTGGCAAAAGACCGCCTCACGACCGCCAGCATCTGGTCGGCCTTGGAGATCGCTTCCGCCGTCTGCACGTGGAACTGGAGGCGGTAATCCACGAAGATCCCGAGGTCCTCGGTGGACTCGACCGCGATTTCTGCGCCGTCCAAGAAGTACGTCTGCCTCGGGTTGCAGTTCCCGATGTGCATTATTTTGCACTTTGCTGCACTCAAGGGGAGCAGCCACTCCTTTGACCACTTGGCCAGGGCGTCGAGGTCAGCCTGTAGAGGTGAGCTAGTCGGGGGCCTCGGGACACGACAGTAGACCTTGGTGTCATCCGCAAACATCTTGACCACGCTTCGCACTTGTTTTGGTAGATCGTCCACGAAAATTATGAACAGCGTTGGTCCAGGTATTGACCCTTACAGGATGCCGCTGACGACGTCGGTCCAGTCCGGCTTTGAGCCCTGGACCCGCACTCTCTGCATCCGGTGAGTAAGAAAAGCCCTGATCCAGGGTAGCAAATTACCTCTCACACCGTAAGCATGAAGCTTGAAGAGCAGACGGTTATGGGGAACAGAATCAAAGGTTTTGCTGAAGTCTGGATACGCCACGTCCACCAGCTTTCCATCCTCTACCGCGGCGCTCCAATCCTCCATGACCTCCAACAGCTGGGTGGTACAGGACCGCTTAGGGAGAAACCCATGCTGGGCTGCATGAAGAAGTCCAGACTCCGAGAAGTGATTAAGCACGGCATCACGGACTGAAAATCATAAAATTCCATCCAGAATATCATAAAATTAAAAACATCCTGAGGATAGCCCATTTAAGTGAAAGCGGTGGAGTAATGTGGAACTGTAATATTTCTAAGCAAAATATGAATTTGGAATCCATTTATTCGCCAATAAAAGAATGCCAGAAAATGGTTCCCGACTTGACTTTAAAGGTATGGCGTCAAAAAACTACAGCGTAAGACAGCCTATCACATGCCTATTCTGATTATTCTGATAGTACAAACTTACTCCGCAAATATGAAACAGATAAACAAAAACCTGCAAGGTTCACCTGAGAACAATATTGCGGCTCTGATGGCTTTAAATCCACCTGAGCGGTTTGTTATTGTAAAAGGCAGCATTTGCTAGCAGGATCGTGAACGTGTCAGAAACAATGCTGCCGGAATAATGGCCTAACTCACTACGACAGGAGCTATTGATTGTGTGCGTCTGTAGTTATAATTTTGTATCGGTAACTGCTATTAATGCGTTTCATAATGTCCATCTTTCCGAAACATGCCTGCTAATCGTACACTCGCCCGCTCGCTGTTGAAAAGCTTTGATGCAGTACTTTTGGGGACAATATTTACGACGGAAACGGCGCGGTTAGACAAAGTATGAAGCGATCTTATCTAGTCGAGTATCTGGCTAGTACGAGGTTATCGCTTGGGGCCCGCGTGGCAGTTTCTGCTCGTTTTAGCGGCATATTGATATAAATATCCGTTCCTTTGAATAAGTTTTGTTTAATTTTGAGCTGCAAGTGATCGAGATATGCTCACCATGGAAATATATGAACTTGTCAGGCTGTTTTTTGAGGTAAGTACAGCTTTGAGGGAAATCGATGGTTATTCTCCGGATCTTTTTCGGAAGCGGTCAGATGCTGAATAGGTATATGAGGTTTTCCATGCCGTGTTAGACTCATGCAACATTTGCATGTGTCATGTGGTTTTAACAGAATGTTGTACTAAAGCATTTTACATCTATAGCATTTTCTTTTCATCGTGAACATTGGTTTGATAATCGTTTAGCGCTTTAAACCTGGATGTAACATCCTTGTCAATATCTACGCAATGAATGGAATTTGGATTTCTTTTTCGAAAGCCCACCACTCCTTGTTTTATGGAACTTGCTTTAGAAAACCTAAGTGTTCTTTGAAAACCTACATTGCCAGAATGCCAGACAGCAAAAAGTACACCAAACATGTCTAGTGTAGTAGTGACATTGTTGCAACAATTTCAGGACATGTGCACAGCAAGTCACATGCCAGGATTTGGATTCATTGTTGCTGCCAATCAGTGCATAGGGGGTCAATGTCCCAGGACTATGCTATCAGAACAGTAATGCATAGAGGGTCAATGTCCCAGGACTATGCTATTAGAACAGTAATGTAATGCAAACCTTGTACATTTTTTCACTCAAAGATACATTGAAAATTGAACATAGTTTCCCATGGCCTGAGTTTAGTGGAGCACAAAGTTTAGAGCACTAAAGGCATACAGTGGCATAGGTGTCCAGCATAGTGGATAGGTCTTTTGCAGACTGGCCTGAATATACTTGGAACATGAGCCCAAAAAAGCAAGCAAAACTAGAAATATTAGGTGTGAATGATGTCAGCTCCTAGGCTGCTTGTATTGAAAATAATAGCAGTGTTTGTCTGCTCTTTCAGGTTCCAACCTACCATCTGGTCCTGGAGGCAGTCCTCATCATTTGGGTACTAAGCCTCATTCTGAAGAAGAAAAGCCATAACCCAGCAAAGTCTTCACTGTCAGAAAAGGCAAGAGTTGTATCAAATATCATTATCCTGCCTCTTTTACTTGCACATGTGTCTACCTGACTTTGCGCTTTTCCTGTTAGACGATAACCTTACTACAACCAATTTGGACATTCTTTGTGTTTGGATTCATAGGAAAGCAGGTAACTTTGTTCTTGGCTTGACTTATCCATCATTCAAGCAATGCTGAAGACAAATTCTGTCAAGGGCAGCATAACTGGCCAGTTGAAATGAAATAGAGACCTCTGACAGTCCTGGGCATCAGACATCTGATGGTCCAGATATCTAACAGTCTGACAGTCCTATGCATTATAAAAATGATGATGAATATGGTGAAGTGTTTGTGATAATCATTGCAAATGCATCATGATAACCTCTGACCATTTGCAAACCTGAAGTGAGTATGTGATAGCCACCATTCACCATACCATTCACCATTTGTAGCCATGCCTATGTGCTATTGACTTGTTTGCATCTCACATCTGTCAGTGTGCACCATATAGCTAGGAGTCATATTCTTGCAGATGATTGGTTGGAGGGCATGTTTATATTGGCAGGATATCTGGAATGTCTTAGAATATCTGCAGTCAAATACCAACATTGTCAAAACAAAATACCCTGGAAGGAGGCACTTGCATCAGAAAGAAGTTCACATGAGGCAATGAGCCAATGAACTTATTACTAGCAAATGCTTGTAGAAAGCCTGCAGCTCCAACCTGTGATCGGCAACTGCAGGAACTGCATGCCGAGCTTAGCTCGCCCAGTGCACTAACAGCTGTCTCGCTGTCCAGGGCAGCCACCTGTGGAATAAGCTCTCGGGGCATGTGAGTCACACCAGCCACGACCTCCCAGTCGTGACACGTCTGTCCATCTGCCACCCGTCGGCTGGTCCGACCCACCGCTCTGTGCAGGCGTCTGTCCCGTCGGCTCCGTGTTGTCAGCCGGTCGATGTCACCCGACTTGCCAGTCTGTCTGTCCGTGGGCCTGCACGTTCGCCACAACATGCATGAGTGCCGCGCTGAATGTCGCACTTCGGTCAAGGCCGCGGCGGAGCAATGGCGGCATGCGCACGCACTCGCGAGGTGAAGTGGGAAACTCAACTGCCCAGAGTTCCACATGTCGCGCTGGAAATCCCCTCTCTATACTGTAGGTGAAGAGGCCAGAAATGGTGCACGAAAAAAACTGTTGAGGGAGGCTAAAAGAGCGGGATGTTGGAACACTCAAACTGTTACGAACATCAGAAAAAACTATCGTGGGGTTTGTGAGGTCGATCCTGTTTAATGTTACATACTGGTGGTCATATTTCAGGTATGTTTAGATTACTGAGCACGTGACTGCTGACAACTGTCGACAACTGTGGACGTGACAGCTCAATGGTGATTGTAAAGGAGCTCCTCTGCTCTGTTTTTTTCTTTCATAGCAACTGGCTTCTAAGTCAAAATAGTCAAGACTCAAAGATGAGGTGGGGACATAATGACATTCTTGATGGGTTTCACCAGCACAATGCTTCATGAGACATAGTTAAGCATCAGGAGCAGGGCCGTCACCAGAAATTGACGCCTGATGAATGGGGGATCGGGTGAGGACTAAGAGAAGGGAGCTGGTGGTCTGGGATGTACTTTGAAAAAGCGGGGTGTCTGCTGAAGTTTGAAGCAAGTTGTTTGATCTGTTGTGTCAGTTATCTACAACCGTAAGTTTACTTTACTAAATTTAATTAAATCTGCTTAAACCTATCACGTATATTTACTTAATTTACTCACGGTCAATTTACTCACAAATTTAACAATGAATGTAATCGGCAAATTGACATGGTCAATTTACTCACGTAAATTGACCGTGAGAAACAATCTGCAGCCTCATGTCGTTATATTTGGCGCTTTATAACAAACAAAAGAGCACAGCTGTTTTCAGCGCCCCTTGTTTAGTCGTAGTAGTAGTTCCATTGGTGCGCACCCGCTCAGAAGAAACATTCGCTTCAAGATTCAACCCATGGGCTAGGCTCCAGTCTGTTGCGCTAGTCGTTATTAGTGTACATATCTTTGCCGACCATATGCACCTCAGATCCACCTGGCTTCGTGTTGCCGACCACTTGGATTTGGTTCCATCCGAGCATATGCACCGCTTGGGTGTTCAGTGGCGCCGAAGTTTGTTGTTGTCGCTCGCGTGTTACCGTGCCTCTCGTTTCGAGTCCGGACGGGGTCGCCTCCTCGCTTGGTCGTCCAAGCCGGCCACGTGGGGTCGGAAAGGGCGTACGGCGTCCGTCTGTAACCAGCCGCAGCGAAATCTCACGCGGAATGCCCCGGCACCGTCGACTGTCTGCCTCACCTGTGGCTAACTGTTTGTGAGGCTTTTTGTGCGTGCCCTTCGTTGTCGTTCGTCCCGTGCGTGCCGCAAGGGTCGTGACACCGGTGCTGCGCCGGCGGTTATGGCCCTGTAATGTTTCTGCCGCTTCACACGCCCCAGTGAGCTCAGGACCGTCACCACCCTGCTCACGCGCCCCGTCTGTGTGCAGGAGAGGGAGGAGTTGATTCAGGAGTGGACTCCTGAGCCGCTGGTGCCTGACGATGCCGATCAGGAGCCCATCAAGTACGACGTGATCCAGGGAAAGGTACTGGCTTCTCCAGCGCGACGGGCGCTGGCGAGGGGCGATCGAGGAATCGAGGCGGCCCACCCTGTTCAAACGTCCGCTGGTGTGTGGGCCCTATGTGGGCTCTCGGCTCTCATGTATAGGATCTCCTGCAGACGGCTGGTCATGTTCCCAGCGTGACTGGCGTGCTGTGTTCACCATCCACATTGATCTTGAACACGAGAGCACTGCGAATTCCGTGTCGTACCGTCTTGACACAAAATGTTGTGCATCGTGCTGGATATGGATGTGTTTGATGCCTGGGGAATGTAAACATATGGCGATGGTTGAGCTTATTTCAGATGTACTTGCGTCGTTTATATGTCATGCGCCTGAATCGTTTGTACTTCAGATGCATTTGTGTTGGTTTATTATCCTGGCGTACCTGATGTACCAGATGTTTGAGATGCTTGGTTTGTTTTTAATGTGTACTTGTGGCGTTTGTATTTCAGATGGCTTCGTTTGTATCATATGTTGTGTAGAATAAGCATCACGAGCATCTGTATTCACATTGATTTGTATCGTATTCGAAACAAGCATTTGACAACCGTACGCCGGTTGAATTATCGTGGTCAAGCTGGCGGGCTCTGCTGTGATCTCCAACAGTATTGCGCCACTACGGGCAGGAGCTAGTGTGTTGCGTCGCCCGTAACGGTGACCAGTGACCCGGTGCGCCATGGTGACCCTCCGCCCGGCGGCCGCAGGTGGGCAAGTACGTGACGATCGGCGGCCGCCAGTACCTGAACGCGGCCACGCACAACTTCCTGGGCATGGTGGGTGACGAGCGGGTGGAGGAGGCGGCCGTCACCTGCCTGCGCAAGTACGGCGTCGGCTCGTGCGGCCCGCGCGCCTTCTTCGGCACCATAGGTGAGCGGCGCTGCCGGGCTCGGGGCGGGCGGGGCCGCGCCGTCTGTGGGCTGTGGGACCACGGACGCGTCTGGGCCGCTGTCCGAGCCGCTGCGCTCGGGTGAGTGCAGCGGCCCGATCCTCACCACACTGTGGCGCCGTGAGCACCGCAGCCAGTTTGTGACGCCGCTGGTTGAACACTGAGCCGGTACTGGCGGACGCGGGCGGGGCAGACGGCTGTGTTGAGAGCTCGGTGGTCTGTACTGCTATTGCGTTTCGGGATATGTTCTCGCCGGTCGGTGACAATCGCGTCAGTTATTCCCTTTGTGAGCTGTGCGCCCATATCCTCCAGTATCCCCTGTCGTAGGCGGCTGGTGCGTGCTTTGTGCACTATAAGGAGAGGGGCAATATATTGTGAAACCTGCTGCCGGCTCGGGCACCGGTTGCTGGGTACCGGTGCAGACGCCCGATCACTGGTGACCATCAGCAGTGTTTGGGTGTAACCGTCGACCGAGACTCGCGCGCCCGCTGTATTTATCTCAGATTTGAGCCCTCGCATGGGATTGGCCAGATCCCGACATGGTCGGACCAGGCCTCGCTCGCACACCGGCATGGGATCGGCCAGGCCCCGGCATGGTCGGACCAGGCCTCGCTCGCACACCGGCATGGGATCGGCCAGGTCCCGGCATGGTCAGACCAGGCTCCGCTCCCACGCCGGCTGAGCTGCTGCCCAACACCAAACAGCAGTATCTCTGGCCGCGGTGTGTCCCCGTCTGGTGGCTGCGTGCCCGGCCCGTGACCTCGGTGTCGGCTGACCTGCCTAAGCTCCGCCCGGGCCGCTCTCCAGACGTGCACCTGGACCTGGAGAAGCGCATCTCGGAGTTCATGGGCACCGAGGAGTCTGTGCTGTACTCGCTGGGCTTTTCCACCGTGGCCAGTGCCATCCCCGCGTACGCCAAGCGGGCCGACATCATCTTCGCGTAAGTCGTGCGGCCGGCATACCGGCAGCCGCTCATAAGGGTCGTGCCGGCCGCACACGAGCGTCATCAGCACAGACAGCACAGGTGTTTTTGACACTTTGTTGGATGTCCTTTTATTACTTATGTAGCTTATATAATTTAGATTTGACAGTTTTGACATGGACATCAGTATCATCACAAGTTGCTCAATCTGAGGGTTTAGCGAGTTACCATGCGTGTCAGAGGTCAGAGGTTCGCCGTGACAGCGTTGCGACGTGTGACGGGTGACGTCATGGTACACCGGCCGGTGCTGACGGCGTACGGCCGGTGTGTGCAGGGACGAGGCTGTCTGCTTCGCCATCCAGAAGGGCCTGCAGGCGTCTCGCAGCGACGTGCGGTACTTTCGACACAACGACATGGAGCACCTGGAGGAGCTGCTGCAGCGGCAGGCCCAGGCCGACTGGCTGGTGAGGGGCCCCGGCCGCCAGCACCAGCCGTCACAGTCACGGATGAGCGACGCTGGTGACTCCCATCAGAAATGTGTTATGTCATGCGAACGATAGTAATATGCGGATAATGGATTAAATGGACAAATCTAATGACTTAGTAACGTACGCAAAATGGAATAAGTGAACAAATTCAATTGCTGTTTTCACCCTCTTCCACTGACCCTCCATCACTGGCTCTTTACTACAGACCATCCACCACCGACCCCCCATCACTGACCCTCCACCACTGACCCTCTACCACTGGCGCTCCATCACTGACCCTCCACCACTGACCATCAGCTAGTCATCCTACACCACTGACCTTCCACCACTGATATTCCACCGCTGACCCTCCACCACTGTCCCTTCACCATTGAACCCCCACCACTGACCCTCCACCGCTGACGCTCCACTCAGACCCTGTGTCGTTGCACCGACAGGAGCCGAAGGCGGCGGCCGAGGTGCGCAAGTTCCTGGTGGTGGAGGGCGTGTACGCCAACACGGGCGCCGTGTGTCGTCTGCCGGAGCTGCTGCGGCTCAAGGCCGAGCACAAGCTGCGTCTGTTCATCGACGAGTCGCTTTCACTCGGTGTGCTGGGCGGCACGGGCCGCGGCGTCACCGAACACTTCGGGGTCACGGTCAGTGAGGCGGCGGCGCCGAGACGGCAGCTGGAGGGGCCTGTGTCCTATAGTTCCTTGTTTGGCTGGCACATCTGGCCCCGGGCCGAGACGGCAGCTGGAGTAGCATATGTCCTATATCTGGTCCCGAGCCGAGACGGCAGCTGGGGTGGTTGTGTCCTATTGTTCTCTGTTCGGCCGGCACGTCCGGCCCCGAACCGAGATGGCAGCTGGAGTGGCCTCTGGCGTAAAGTCCTCTGTTTGCCGGCGCTGCTCTCCAATAAACCTTTGGAGTGGCGAATCCATGTCCGCCATTGGTTGGTTGGCCCTACCTTTGATCTGTGATCCCCTGTTTGGTTTGCTGCTTGGGACGCTGATTGACAGCTTGTGCCACTGCCCCCCACCCTGTGTGAATGATTAGCTATCGATACGAAAATGAAGTACCCGAAATATCGTAGGAAATGCCCATATCCCCGATTAAATGTCTCAATGACTCTTACACTGGAGTCGACGTGCCGTGCGCGCCTCTGATCTACCCTTTACATTCAGTATTATCTGTGGTGTCGTCAAGCCTGATATATCACGAGGTGGTTTCATTCCATGCCTTTTCCGTCACTCCTGAGATGCTCATACGCCGTTCCCCTCCCCCCACCCTCCCCCTGGCGCGCCCGTGGTCTGGTCGGTGTACGTGAGGGAGGGGAGATGCATGTTTGTCGGACTTTGTGGGATATGTGTTTATCTGTGGCCCGTGCAGTGTGTGGCCTGCCTGTCGTCTGTCAGTACGGTGTTCATGACCGGCGCTGGACCAGCCTGCCACCGGCCGTCGGGCTCTGTCGGGCGTGCGTGCCTCCTGTGAGTGTGACCTGTATCGCTGTCAAACCCGCGCAGGCACAGTATGTGACACGCCCTCACCATGCTCCCTCGACCCATGCTCGACCTGTGCTCGACCCGTGTAACATCTGCTTGGCCCGTGATTGACCTGTGCGTGACCGATCCGATCCATGCGTGACGCTATGTGACCCGAGTGTGACCGGGTGTGACTCGTAGATGACCCGAGTGTGACCGTGCGTGACCGTGCGTGACCCAAGTGCGCGTGTGTGTGCTGTCTGCAGGCGCGGGAAGCGGACCTGATCATGGTCAGCATGGAAGCGGCGCTCGGCTCTGTGGGCGGCTTCACCACCGGCTCGTTCTACGTGGCCGACCACCAGCGCCTCAGCGGACAGGGTCAGTCGACACGCGCTGCACAGCGGCGATCGGCACACGCTCGCCGTGAGCGGTCCGTGGCCGCCTAGTTGACAGGGTCGGTGACGACGCAACGATAGCTAGGCGACGGTGACGACGCGACGGTGACTACACGACGATGGGTAGGCGACGGTGACTATGCAACGGTGACTACGCGACGGAGAGTAGGCGACGGTGATGGCGCGACGGTGGGTAGGCGACGGTGACTTCACGACGATGGGTAGGCGACGGTGACTATGCGACGGTGACTACGCGAGGGAGAGTAGGCGACGGTGACGACGCGGCGGTGGGAGGGCGACGGTGACGACGCGACTGTGTGTAGGCGACGGCCAGCATCAGCGTTCACACGGTGGCCAGATGGCGCGCAGGGGCATGGTTAGCAGAGTGAGCAGACGCAGACTGCTCAGGGTCGTTGGACTGGTCTGGGCTGGACTTGTTAGTGGACGCTTGGTGGGCAGGCGGCCGGGGCGGACCGGATGCGGTCAGCGGCGGCACGTGGGACTGGATCTGAGGACTGGCGCTTCACAATGCCCGTGGACAGAGTCGGTAGCGGTGACATGCGGAGCCGCCCCAGCCGCGCTGCCCTGCGCTGCGTACTGGCCGCCGAGCTGACCTGACCCGGCGCACTGCCGCGGGGATGTGTTCTCGGCGGCGCTGGCGCCACTCTGCACCCGTCTCCCCGCCCCCTCCACTGACCTGACCCGGCGCACTGCCGCGGGGTATGTGTTCTCGGCGGCGCTGGCGCCACTCTGCACCCGTTTCCCCGCCCCCTCCACTGACCTGACCCGGCGCACTGCCGCGAGGTATGTGTTCTCGGTGGCGCTGGCGCCACTCCTCCCCCGCCCCCCTCCACTGACCTGACCCGGCGCGCCGCCGCAGGGTACGTGTTTTCGGCGGCGCTGGCGCCACTCTGCGCCGCCGCCGCCATGTGCGTCATCGACCTGCTGGACGCCGAGCCAGAGATGACTGATCAGCTGCGCGACGTCTGCCGGGCCATGCATAAGGCGCTGGCCGGCATAGACGGGTACGTCTCCCCTCCCCATCCCCTCCCCTCCTTCATCCTCTCCGCCCGCGTCGTTATCACTCACGTCGCTGGCATTGCGTGCGCGATGTCCATCTGGTGCGGATGAGCGGAGCGTGCCTGCTCGGAGATGGGCTTTGTTGCCGCGCTTGTCCTCCAGTGGTGCAGGTTTGGTCAAGATAGCACAAGTTGGCCAAGGGTTTGCGTGCATAGTTACACAGGCTGTGTCATTCTGGTGGTAAGCACTTTCCTAGCTTTACGTAAAATGTATTGAATACTTGGGCAGGACGACAGCGGCAATTTTGAATTGCCATTGTGATGATGGTGGGTGAGATGGTGCTGAGCAATTAGGGCATTTTGATATACAAGTTCCGGTCGATGTCGCCTGTCAGCGGCATTCCAGTGCTTCCTAATGATGCCCCCCCCCCTCGCCCCGCACCGTCGGCCCGTCTGACTTGCGTGTGTGTGCGTGCGCCCGGCAGGCTCCATCTGGTGGGTGACGAGCTGTCGCCGGTTAAGTTCCTGCAGCTGCCCGGCTCGGACTTAGACAGGCGCGATAGCGAGAGGACCCTGCAGTGCATTGTGGATCAGGTACGGGGCTGCGGCCTGGTCAGTAGTGGATCAGGTACGGGACTGTGGCCCGGTCAGTAGTGGACCAGGTACGGAGCTGCGGCCCGGTCAGTAGTGGATCAGGTACGGGGCTGCGGCCCGGTCAGTAGTGGATCAGGTACGGGGCTGCGGCCCGGTCAGTAGTGGACCAGGTACGGGGCTGCGGCCCGGTCAGTAGTGGATTAGGCACGGGGCTGCGGCCCGGTCAGTAGTGGACCAGGTACGGGGCTGCGGCCCGGTCAGCAGTGGATCAGGTACGGCGCTGCGGCCCGGTCAGTAGTGGACCAGGTACGGGGCTGCGGCCCGGTCAGTAGTGGATCAGGTACGGGGCTGCGGCCCGGTCATTAGTGGACCAGGTACGGAGCTGCGGCCCGGTCAGTAGAGGATCGTGTACGGAGCTGCGGCCCGGTCAGTAGTGGATCAGGTACGGGGATGCGGCCCGGTCAGTAGTGGATCAGGTACGGAGCTGCGGCCCGGTCAGTAGTGGATCAGGTACGGGGTCGCGGCCCGGTCAGTATCAGACCAGGTACGGGGCTGCGGCCTGATCAGAAGTGGATCGGGTACGGAGCTGCGGCCCGGTCAGTAGTGGATCAGGTACGGGGCTGCGGCTCGGTCAGTGGTGGGCCAGGGCTGTGGTCCTGATGTGTGGTTCCGTGCAGCGGACCGCTGTCCCTTAGCTCGCCGCCAGCGGGCTCCCCGTTGGGCGCACCCTCTGTAGGTGGTCTGTAATCGCAGCTGTTATTTCACGTGAGATCCTGGAGAAGCTTTTTCGACGTAAATCTGGCTTTTCTCACACGCGAGTTTGTGATGCAGATGTGGCGTTTGGTTGTCGCAGGGAGTGTTCGACTTTGTTCGCTGTCCTTCGGTGTCGTGAGAGCAGGATTACAAACGGCACGTGTTTCAGTGTCAGGGGAGTGAGATAGTCGCTCGCCGGATTGTCCGCGGCGTGCCCAGCGGTGTGTTTGGCCTTCACTGTACCTTGTACGCGCTTTGTATCGGCGTGTTGGGTAGGTGTGCCCGACGCCGCACCACCAGTACGTCTCCTTTGTTGGTGCCCTGTCATCGGAGCCGTACATGCCAGCCTTTCTTGGCGTGTGCCGTCTTTTTGGTGTTTTGTCTGTTTCCAACAACAGTCCAGACAGGCTAAAGTTAAGTGTACCTTCTCGTGCGCGTTCGCACCCATGTGCAGTTTCCCCTTCTGCTTCATTTTTGTTTCTCTCTGCATATGAGCGCTTGTGTGACGCGTTCCAACCTGTGCCCGCCACCGTTCCGGTGTCATGGCTAGGACCCGGCAGCACGGTGAAGCCATGGCGGCAGCTCCCATCCCTATCCGTTTTTGTGTCGTGAGCTGTACTGTGTCGAAATCCCCAGAGCCAAAGATGCTGTGAAGACCCAGCTGTCTTCACACAAAGCTCCCAAGGACATCGAAATTAAGAAGAAATTCAGTCGATTCTTGTGAGAAATTAACGCCATGAAAAAGCTATAAAATTGAGAACCCAAGGTTGTCTGTTAAAAGTGACATTTCCCGTTCAAAGCCTTGCGTTTTGACACCCTGGTGAGCAGACGTGTGTGGCCGCGTTGCAGTGCCGGGAGCAAGGCGTGGCGCTGACGCTGGCCCGCTACCTGGAGCAGGAGGAGTACCGGCTGCCGGTGCCGGCCATCCGGCTGACCTGCACCCGGCTCATGGGGCCACAGGAGGTGCGCCAAGTGGGCGACGCGCTGGCCACCGGCGCGCGCTACTTCAGCCCGTGCTAGTGCCGCCGCCGCCGCCGCCGGGGTGCCCGCTATCTCGTCGGGGAGGCCCTCCTTCATGGAGGTCGCTCTCCCGCCGGGGAGGCCGCTTTCCCGCCAGGCAGGCCAGGCCGCTCCCTCGCCGGGGAGGCCGCTCTCACCGGGGAGGCTGCTCTCCCGCCGGGGAAGCCGCTCTCCCGTCGGGGAGGCCGCTCTCACCGGGGAGGCCGCTCTCACCGGGGAGGCGCTCTCCTGCCGGGGAGGCCGCTCTCCTGCCGGGGAGGCCGCTCTCCCGCCGGGGAGGCCGCTCTCCCTCCAGCTGCGACAGACAGAGCCGGCTGGTGACGGTGCTGCGTCGGACGGGAACAGGCCGGCAGGTCTGCTGCTGCGTCTCACCGATAGCGGCCAGCCGCGCCATGGGGTGAGGGCGCACCTCTGCGCTGGGAACGCCTGCGGGCATGCTGGGAGGGTGGTATGTGTGTATTCGTCCACTATTCCACGTACCTCTGTGTCATATTCGCTGTGTGGTGCGCCGGGGCGGCGGCCCCAGCCTCGCGCCTATGAGGACCCGACGCTGCGTGCCTTTGCTTGTGCGCTGGCTGATGTGTGCCTTATCGGGATGCGGCGTGGCATGATCTCTGTTCGGCACTGAGACACGTACTCCCGCTGTTTTAGCGGAGTCGGCGTTTTTGCTGTGCACTGCCTTGATATCGAGATTGTAAAGAAACGGGGGGTTTTAGACTTGCCTATGTGAATATTATACTTACTTATGCCATATTTGTACTTAACATATATTTGTACTCATACCAAGCCATGTTTTTGGTTTGTTCTTATGTCAGGCCTGGTCGGTCTTTTGCGCAACCAGATAGACAAAGCTGAGTGTCTTTTCGTCCCGTCACGACCATTTTCTCTCCAATGTTATGCGCTAGGGCATTTATAATGCGTTATGCGGTTCCATGTCCGCGCAAAAGTAGCTTCGTCCGTGGACCGCTGTGTCGCACTGCGCCCATCTCATGCCCCTGCTCCGTGGCTCGGACAAATGCGCCTGGCCCTTGAGTATCGATGCTGAATATTTCTGTACACCATGACATCGATGTCATGTTGAACTGTCATGGATGGCGGAAGTCCTAATTTACGGATGCCACATTTGTCTCTGCAGTATGTTAATGTGCTGTGTAATTTGTCAAATACAGTGTTTCCATGTAAGGTGGCTTATCTGCTTGTGCGTGCCCCTGGGTGTGTGACGATCAGCTAGATTGCCCAGGTGAACAGAAATCACCCAATGAAGGTTGCGAGTTTGGAGGCCGGAGGTAAGTACTTATTCGAATTTCTCCAGAAGTATAGCAAATCTCTCCACATCTCCAGACTTGCTGGTGGAAGAAAATCCTCTAGAAAAACACGCCGTAAGACAATCACACGCTCTTGAAAGTTCGATCGAAGAAGGCGCGCAACAGACGTTTGCACGTTTGCTTCGCTGCACTAAATGTAAGAAAACATACTGAGCTTAGCCATGTTTTCTAGGTGGATTCACGTCTCTAGCTGCCCTGGTTGCCGAGATGTGGCGAAAATGTGAAAAACGGCCGGTAGCAGCCAAATCCATCTGATGGGCTCGTGCACGCATGGTTCGCAGCACGTGCGTGATGACAATTCATGCAACGTCATTGTTCGATTCCCTATCAACGCTTGCGACTCCCCAGCGGCTTCGCGTCCTGCGTACTGCGATTTGTCACAAAACTTTCATCCTGTCAAAAATGCGAAATTCAGTCTGCTGCGTGTGAGTGTGATACGTAACCCGCGCGTACGCACACGGAACACCACTGGCCGTTTAATGCATTATCGCGGTATGCGAGTCAAGTGTGGCTGTATGTTCTGAATGAGGAAATGTGGCGAAAAACGTAAAAACCGACGACATCAGCAAAATGGATCTTCGCAGCTAGTGTGCACGTGGATTGTGACATGTGCGACTAGGGGCGAATCCAGAGTAGGGACGGCGTTACGGTCCCCGTGAGTCCCGCAGGGGCCCCTTAGGCTCCGAGCGGCTCATAGCCGGCCGAGCAGATGCATTTTTTTACACAAGGCAACAATATTGGACGTCTTTGGGCCTCCAGGCGATCAATGACAGTCGCAAGCGAAAGTGAAGAGCCCGTGAGTAGACAAAAATTATGATTTACTTATTGAGAAGATGATGACAGAGGTCTCCAGACTGCTTACGCTATCCAGAGGCCCTACGTTGTTCCCGGGGCCCTGTATGCCAACTTGCGTGGTCAGCTTGATCGTTAAGGAGTCTTCCACGTTGCCCTCGATTTCTTTGCATTTGCTCGGAGTGGCCTGCGCTGTTGCTGGTGCCATTCTTGCTAACGTGCCGAGGCACTCTTTATCAATCAGGGACCCTGCATGGATTCTTTCCATTCGCTCGAAACGCTCTATACGCCAGAGCCGGGGCCTCATGTGTTGACATGCCGGGGTATTCTCGTTTGCTCAGGGGCCCTTCACGTTGGTCACGATTAACCCACCGGCACACGATATGCTCATGGGTCCTCTTAATTGGTCTAGAGTCCTTTCAATTCTCTCTCGCTTGGGCCCAACGCTCTTTTCTGGCGACCATCTGTTAAGCTAATCGGGCTCACTCAGTCTTTTTTCTCTCAGTCACTCAGTCAGTCAACTTCAGCTTATTTTGCCAAGTGTTTTCCGAAAAACTTAGCCTTAAAATGATAGCATTTACCATGGTCTGGAGAAAATGAATAAGCTCCATGCGTGTGCATACGAAGCACGGCTAGTTTTCTGGGGATGTGCAAGGTCAGATAGATTTCCGTATAAAAAACGTTCTAAGAATCTTAATTTCGGTGGCCAAACATCGATATTTGGGTTATATATATATATATATATATATATATATATATATATATATATATATATATATGTATATATATATATATATATATATGTTGGTCACGTGTTGGTCATATATGCGGTCACCATACACGTTGCGTGCTCAGGCCGGCCAACGTTGCACACGTTGGTCATATATGCGGTCACCCATATATATATATATATATATATATATATATATATATATATATATATATATATATATATATATATGTGTGTGTGTGTGTGTGTGTGTGTGTGTGTGTGTGTGTGTGTGTGTTAGCGTATATGTATATATATATATATATATATATATATATTACTACGGAAGACCCTACAGTATTGTCTGCTTCCCCCTTGACGAGATCCTGGATCTGCCCCTGTATACATCACATTTTGCACCACGTGATTGCCCGTTACGTTGCCTATCGAAGTATGACACTCTCGGGTCGCTTGGAGCCGCGGGAGCCGCGATATCGCAAAAGCGTGTAAACTCGTCGAAGATAGCCAAATTCATATTTCAACACGTGGGCGTGTGACTAATCGTCATCATTTTGCCCGCTCCACCCACCATCGAAGCGTGCCACTCCCAAGTGTGTCCGTGTCCTGAGTTCTGCGATGAGACACAAACCGTGTGAACCCGTAACGGGTCAGGTTAAGGGTCTATTCGGACTAGTGCAACGTTTTCGTGCTCAGGGCCGACAACGCGTGATAATATTGTGTTTTTCACGATGACACAATGGGTGTCCAGCTGCTCTGTATCAGGATTGACGATGGATTTTCGAAGGAGTTTTTGTATATGGAAAGTCATGATTATCGCAATGATTCGCAACTGTAGCGGGCAATTTTAAAGCAGGGTCCGAGTCTCGGTCGAGCAATAATCGTTATGGGTAGGTTAATTGAGTTGCAGAGCCTTAGCCTGACTTGCCTCGCTCCTGTTCCAGACCAAGATCTCGCGTTCGCGGCCGCAATCCAACCGGCGGCACTAATGAATTCCAACCGGCGGCACTTGAGCCAATTGTGGTGATCAAGGATTTGGGCGGCGCTGCAGGTTTCGTGCGTGACGGGCGTGGTCAGATGGTCGGTGTTGATGACGGCGGCCGGCCCCTGACTACTTCTTATACTGGAATTGTTCAACCTTTAGTCAGAAAGCAATAAATGATAATAATCATATCACGTAGTTTTGAACATGTGCGCTCGCGAAAGTCGATCGATGCTATCGACGTCACTCATGACGTCATATCTCACAGATTCTACGCCCTTTTTTGGTCGCAGCGACCCGGACGGCAAAGATTATACGTGACCTCACGTAGAATCTTTGCCGCACACGCAGAATCCTTTTCCGCAATTTCATCAAAGTGAGACAGAGATCGCGCAACAGATTCAATTGCAGAGAAGTCGATTTGCGTGCTCAGGCCGACAACTCGTGATAAAAAGGCGTTTTACACGTTACAGACTACACAATTTGCCGCTTTCATCATTTGGGGCATACGTGGCACTTCCAAACGAGAATCCTATTGTCTCTGCCCGTGCATATTTTCGTGACAGTTACGAAAATGTAAGCAGAAAACGAGTTGCGCTGCGAACACGTCCTGGTAAAGGCTCCACGTAACGCCACTTAGACCAGAACATTCTTGGTGTGTTGCGAATACACCCCCGGGCGTATTTTACCCAAAATGATAAAGGTCCATGTACAATGCAGTCTCATCTTTAAACGGTACGAACTGAGTTTGAAAGACTTTCGGAAGCACTGTTTCACGACGGTCGTTCTCGCGCGCCCAGTGTTCGCCGCCTGATGCTATCTGCAGTGGCCAACGCCGTTCGGTTTTACGGGAACTGTAACCGCAGCCATCGCTGTTCTTGCTGATGAGACGGCTAGCGCGCAGGCTCAAAACTCTCACAGAATTGTGTTCACAAGTCGATTCTGCAAAAGGACAGATGCTGTCAGGCAAACGTGGTTGGCCTTTTCGATCCACTCTATCTAGGCACGACTGACATGATTGGTGGCAGTGTCCATGAAGATTTGCCATTACAATGCGTGTTATACCTCTGCGGAAGAGTAATGAACAGCTCAACATTTACGCAAAAAATGTGTAGTTAACTGACTTAAGTCACAATCATTGCCGTATTGTTCATTGACAGATTTCACTGACGAGGAAATCTATCCTACACTGACTTTCTTCACGTTCATTGTGACATTGTGCAAGCAAACGCAGAAGAAACGAATTTATCTTACATGAATAACACTGTCGATGATTGTAGTGTTGCTCTACATAAAGCGGTGCTGCTCCGCCGCCGTGCAAACATAAGCTTTACTGCTGGTTTGTAAGTTTGCTTATCAATGCTGACCGAACGACTTAACGACCCAAAAGCATTTTGCGAGCAGGCTGCAATACATATCGTGATTCAGGCAGTCAAGCATGCAAGGATTTATTGTCATGAGCCAATGTGCCACACCGCGACCTTCCCCACTCGAGCACCGCCGACTCTGCTGGCAGATAAAAATGGCCCGGGTGTCGCGAGTCGCGACGCCCGGGCCATTTAAGGATCGCGACTCGCGACCCTCCGCTGGCGACAGAAGACGGACCGGTACCCTGCCCACTCCTTCCCTTCCGTTACCGCAGTCAAACCTGTCAGTCCGCTGCCCCACGAATAGGTGGATTAGTTCAGAGCAAGACCAGGGCAGGTAGAAGGTAGGTACAGGTACAGTAATTGTGCGAATGGGCACAAGTGTCCCATGCCTGCAACTGCCTCTGTACAGTCGCGTGAGAGAGAGAGGGAGAGAGAGAGAGAGAGAGAGAGAGAGAGAGAGAGAGAGAGAGAGAGAGAGAGAGAGAGAGAGAGAGAGGCCTGGACCCCAGCCATGCACCTCTGCCTGGGACCTCTGGGCCCTAAACAGTTAACATTAATGAGAACCCTTACCTGTTTTCGGTCAAAGGGCCCCGTGGGTATAACACTTGGTGGCAGATTGTCGTTCCCGGCCAAGAGCTGAAGGGCCTCTCCGTCCCACCGCGAGGCCTACCGGCTGCCATTCGGCTGCCATTCTGGCGATACGGGACGGAGTCCTCTGATCGATCCTGAGGTCCTTAGAGGGATGCGTCATACATTGGTCCCCTTGCAGGCGCGGGAGGCTCTGTGGCCTGGGCAGTTGGCAACAGATCGAGATAAAGGAGTCCTCAGTCCTTATAGATGGAGGACTCCTCATTGACGCAACAAGATCTCTTAGCCCCGCAGGTGGTCCAAGAATTGGCACAGGAACTTCAGTTCGAGTTCACGGGCCCTTAAATGAAATGGGCTGGGCCGTTCCCCTCCCCTTCCGTGCTGGAGGCTCCTACTGACGAAAGGCCCTTCCACTATCTCACTGTGAATTTCATCACGAGTTCTCATGTGTACTTTCATTGTCAGGGGGCAACGACCAATGCAAGAGACCCTTCCGCATTCGGGGTCATGTCCCCGTTCCTATTCAGCAAATGCTCCCCCCCCCCCCGCCCTCCCGCCGACTCCGGACCCCTTGCTGATGCAGAAACCTTTGTTAGGCACTGTGGGCTCTTGACTGAAACAGGCCCTAATCGCTGCAGCGGCTGGGCCGATGCAAATTGTCAGTTCCAGTCTCACCCCGGCTCACGAAATGGGCCCTTAGGGCACAGGCCGACACTGAGCCTACTATTCAGTGTTAATGGTCCCTGACCGAAATAGGCCTTCATTGTCCACGGGGGATCTCCTGTCGGTGTAAGAGACCATCTGGCAGGCATTGAGCTCACGGCTCTACAAGTGGGAATCCTTAATGTGACCCACAGCCAGCCCTTCGGCCTCCTCAGCCTTAAAAGCAGGCCTGTGACCTTTTGTCCTGAGGGACCCTTCGGGCCCCACTTTGGGACGTCCTTCGGACCACCTCGAACACGGCCCCCGGCGGACTCAGGGTCACTTACCGACACAGGGCCCCCTGTTGGCTTCTGTGGGCCCCTGACCGAAAAGTGTTCCCCATCATTTCAGCGGCCTCGATCACTGCAAATCGCCGGCCCCGGCCTTTCTCCTGTTCGGCAAATGGGCTCCCGGGGCTCAGATGAGCACGGGGCGAATTGGTCGATGTTGGTCGCCTGGCCTAAAAAGAGACCCAAATTGTTTCGGGGGCTCTCTGGCGACAGAAGACGGACTTGCTAAAGAATGTCTTGCTTGGATGTGCGGTGTACGCATGGAGCGATGCGCGCACTGTCCACCCAATTCTAATCTGACGACTTTCTGATCCAACGAAAAACTGCGACTTCAACGGCATAAGGTAAAGAGTTCTAAATAGATATATGGCAGCTCTGCTGCAATATGTGATTGTGACGCAAGCGATTTCTGGGCAGTGTGTGGCGTTCGCGAGGAGCGTGTCACGCTGGTCGTGTGTAGTGACCGAGGGGGTCGTGGGTGAAGCAACGGGGCAGCTTGCAAATACGACAGAAGCGTTGCGTTTGGCCATTGCTCATAGCTAATTTGCTCATACATTGTCTCATCTTATACTGCAGACGATCAAGATGGAGGTAGACAACGTACTACAACCCCAAGACAGGAATGTCGCACTCACGGTAAGGAACTGGGTGCCTGTGTTGCCTCTCGAATAACGAATTCCGTGATGTTATATGACGGATTATATTGGAATCATACAAGCTGGTCTTCAGACCCCCTGTGTGTATGTCATCCAATTGTAGTGTACACAACGTGCATTACAGACAGTCATCACCTGTGGTCTTGATGTGATCTTGCCAAGAATAATTCCAATAATTATTTCATTGGTTATCTCCTGACTCAAACCATCTGTACACATGAGATGATGGTGAGATTTAAGAGAGAAATGCCCATGTCACAGCCAAAAATCTAATGAGGCTAGCATACATTAGCTTTGGCCCTAACTTGTTGCTGTTCTCAAGTTCTCAGGTGCCTGGTTGCCTGTGAGTTCTGTTGTTGCAGTGAATCATTTGAACTGAAAGCAAGGCCATGTAAAACAATGTTTGCAATGCTGCTTGCAATGTAAAATTGATGCTTGAGGCCAATCCAGCCTAGACACACTATTCTCAACTACTCTTAAAAGGCTACTACACTGGATAACATGCTATCACAGACCTTCTATAATACATGCCGTGAACTCCATATTGCATTAGTCTGAGTAGGGATGTAGTACCCTGAGCTGGCAAGTAAGATGTGTTAGAGCCCTTTTGCCCAGTTTGGGTTTTTAATGTAGTGAATGAGAACAAAATGTTGAAATGCCAGTGTAAGGTATGAAAAGCTTTCACATCACCTTAGTTGTGTTGAAATAAATTCATTGATACCTGTGCAGCAATCAATATTAACATGAGCCACAGCATTGTGCTCATCCATCATCTGCTCAAGCTGTTCATTGGTGCAGCAAATTTAGAGCCAAATCCTTGTTTCTTTCCACTGGATGCTTGTACAGGTGAAAGTATTTGTAGGCCATAATCAACAGGAAAGGCTCATATTTCAGGCATTGGTAAAGGTAAGGTCATGTTTCATATGGCTCAAAGGCAAATCATGTGCACTCATCTTGGTCAGGCTGCATACTATAACTTTTTTTACTGCTGTGACAGCTTTTCACTCACAAAATTTCCCATGAATCTGTTTGCTGGAATCTGGCTGGTGTGGCCAAATCCCAACTCTCATTACATTTTGCACTTGTCACATCCATTCTGTTTCCTATACAGGCTTCCCATTTGTGTCATCTGTTCTTGTATCATTTGTGGTAAATAGGGTACAGTTATTATGCCCTGACTTCATCATGCAAGATACCACCCATTACCCAAGGCTGCATCCATTTTTACTTCCACCCATGACCAGGAGATACCGACCAATGAAAATATTACTGCTCGGGCATTGTTTTCTATATTAAGATATTACCAATGAAAATATTACCACTAGGGCAATTTGTTCAGCTCAAGGTCAGTGGCTGCATGATCCTCTGCAGTCAGTGCGCTCTAAAACACTGCTCAAGGCCAGTTGCAGCTAGCTGGGTTGTAGGCTCCATCATGATAAAGTAACAATGAAATTTCATGGGATGATTTTGAGAATTTGTGATGTGTGTTATGTGACATGTGCAGCATCACCCATACAATCTTCATCCGTGGCTATAACACTGAGCACCTGCTTTCTTCCCAAAAGGTCAGGGCTGACAGTGTCCTGGGTATAAGATTTTTGCAGACACAATTTTATGAACTTTTTGTAGTGTGAGGTTTGAGTAACTGGCAAAAAAGGAAGATGTCACTAAATTATCCCAACTGCACATTTTGTTGATAGCAAAGGTGTGCTTGGTGTAAGCAAGAGAGGTCTTAAGCTCCTGTTTTTTCTGCATTATGAGTTCAGAGTTCTTATGCTGAGAAATCAGCTTTCAATGTATTAGAAGGTACTTATAAATTTCAGGCAAACATTGGTTATTTTGGATGCCACTCATTACTGAGTACTGTTTGATTGTATTGTTTAGACTGCACCTTAAGCTGGTCTTATTCACAGCACTCGGTACGGTATACTGACGATATGATCAATGGTTGCTCTATGTCGCTTAAGCAGTTCACCATAGACAGGTCAGGCAAAGTTTGATAGGAAGGAAAGTCGCATTGCCACGACAAAGCCGAGGCCAGCAGTTCAAGATCGCATAAAGCCGAAGCTCAAGCCATAATTAAACAAACCGTTAGGAGCCGAAGCCAGGCTTGAAAGAATGACGCAAAGCCAAAGCTGAGACCAAATTCAACGGCTTAAATTTGCACGAAGCGGAATCCAGTCCTGGAAAATGTCCCGAAGCTGAAGCCGAACTTGAAGCCATTGCAGAAAATCTGCGGCTTCGCGAAGCCGAAGCTGCCTCTGTCCTCATGCCTGGCCCGCACAGTTCCGAATTGTACAGCAGCTACAATGGGATGTAGCTCATGGGGTTTTCGCAGTAATGGACGGAAATGGGAAGACTAAAAATGCTTTTCAGAGTGATCGTGAACTTCGTTCTTTTGTGTGTGTTTTCCGGAACGGTGATGCGCCGCGGTAATCGGTGGCGGTTGGCTGCTGCGGGGTCCGGATGGACTGGAGCGCCACCGCTTATGTATTGCGTTAAGCACACCGTTAGCTCCCGCGTCCCTGGCTGGCCCTCGTGAAACGGAGGCAGTGTTTATGTCTCCGGAATCTGATGGCCGTGAGGATCATAACACGTCACGTGGTTCGTCGCTCATTTGGGCCAGGTCTGTGCGCTGTCGTTACGGCTCTGGCGATGGCATTGCAGTTCATGACCGTTCGGGTTGAGCTCAGCCTCTGCAGGTCCGATCTTTTCAATGTTCCAGTTATTACCATTGGCCAGCAGGCTCTTGTGAGGGAAGCGCGTCATGATGTGACAACTTGCGGACCCATCGACGCTCGTTTTAAGCATGCTTCCTTAATACGTCTGTCGAGATATTATTCTCCCGTAGTCAAGGTTATGTTCGAGTTGAGCTCAGCGTGTGCAAGGATGTAGGAGATCCACGCGGACGACTTGCCATGTTGCACGCAATCGCGGAACGTGTGCTAAAAACTAGTAAAAAGGCCCGATCATCATACGGTCCGCAGATGCGCTTTCACATCTGTAATGGGCGACTGGTCTCCTGACGTTCAGCGATCGGTGAGGGCTGGCGGCCAGCGGTGCTGGGGGTGTGAGGCACGGGTCTGCGGGCGGACCTCCGGCGGCTATCGTTCGCCGGCACTGGCTGCCGTCGGCCGGCCTGGCGACTCGGGCCTACGCGCCGGCCGGTCCGGTCCTGCGCGGCCGCCATCTCGCCGGGGCGGTGCGCCGCCGGCCGTGGCGCGCTGGGGCTGAGGCTGGGCGCCGCCCGGACAAGGTCAGCCGGAGAGAGCGGCGGCGAGAGGTGGAGAGGGAGCGGCGCCCGCTAGCCGGGCCGAGCTCTGTTTACCGCCGGCCTGGCCGCGATGTCGCGCCTGCCCGCCCGCCGAGCGGCCGGCTGACCGGCGGTGCGGCCAGCAGAGGCCGGCCGCCAAGCGAGCCGACCTCCGTCCGCCGCAGGGTCATTTCCGGGTGGTGTCCGGGGCCCAGGGCCGCGGTGACGGTGGGTTTCGCACGGTCCAGGCTCGGTCGTGGTCGCCGCATGACACGTTATCTGCTCTGGGCCGGGCCGATGATAGGGGCGATCGCTCCAGCTGCCGTCCTCCCACCCCCCGCTGACCGGCGGCGGCGGCGGCGGCGGCGGCTGCAGCGGAGTCGGTCCAGACTGCCGCCGACAGTGCCGCCGGTGAGTGCGGGCGCCGTCGCTGCTGACGAACTCAGGCGCGCCCGATCTGGTTCAAGGGCGCTAATTTGGTGGCCAAGCGAGACGCGGCGCGCGGCCGTGTTGGGTACGCCGCGTAAGCATCGCATTCAGCGGCTCCCTTGCGACATATTGGTTTGATCTTGCTTGTGTCTCTTTCTCGGCCGGTTATCAGTGTGGCCATGGGTTACAAATGCGTCGAGATTTTTGGCCCGGAGACATCGCAGACCTGGGCGGGCGAAGGGGCGTTTCTGACACGACTGCTCTCTCCTCCCATCCCCCCCTGCTGTGTGGCTGCCGGCCGGTGTGCCGGGCCGGCGCCACACGCCGCCTCCGGCCGGTGCCGTCTGGCGTGATGTATCCGCCCGGCGTCCGCCCCGCCTCCTCGCGCTCGGCCCGCCGCCGGCTGGAATGCCCGCCGCTCGCCGGGCCGCCGCTCCGCGTGACGTCACGCGCTGGGGACCCGGCCGCCGGCCGGGATGTCTTCTCTTTGTGCGCCGGCCGCCAGCGCGTAATCCCGGAGGGTGCGTGAGTGCGTGCGCCCGGCGCGGCTGGCTGCTCTGCGGCTGGCTGCTGGCGCGCCCGTGAATGGTGGCTGCGAAAGGTCCAGCCGGATTGCCGTGGCTTTGTGTTCTCTAGAAACAAGCGGACGCTCCTCCCGACAGGTAAATTAGCATGCAGGTCGCGCGCGTTCGGTGGTTCGGCGCGTACGTACTCGCGAGATCGTGCTTTGTATTTTATCTTGAGTCGTACTCGTCTTCACGCGCGGTGGATGCGACTTCCTCGTGGTCTCTGGATGGGACGGGTGACTGTCGGGCGCGTGGCTGCTGCGGGCCGTCAGGTCGCCATTAACCCAGTTCTCCGGCATCGCGTGCACCGCCGCCCGCCGTCGCCGCCGCCACCGCTCTCCCCAGCATCGCGCCAGCACTCGACCACGTGTCCAGCTGGCAGCAGGCTGTCTGCTCGCCGCGCTGACTGGCGCCGGGTCAGCAAGTTCGCGCGGTGGCACTATCGGGTCACGTCGCGTGACCCCGCTCAAAGGCGGCGCTTTTTACCGGGCTGGCGGCCGCGGGCGGCCACGGCGAGCACGCGGTAATTGGATAATGGCGGCACTCGGTCGCCGGAATCGTACGCTGCAGACCGGCGGCCCGCGCCGGTCGCCTCTCCCTCCGCCCGAGGGCGGCGGGAGATGACGCAATCCCTGGCGCGGCCGGCGCGTGCTCCCGCGCTGTTGTGGCGGGGAACGAGGGGAGAGGGTGCCCGCCGCGGTCCGTCGTTCCTGGCCTGCCGGCGGCGCAGGG